TTTTTTTGGGTCCGCGTTCGGCCCGAACGGCCGAACGCATCCCCAAGGGGTCCTATACGTTCGGGCGTTCGGGTTCGGGCGTCCGGCCCGTCCCGAACGCCGGTTACCCTGTATATATATATATCTCGTCTGACACCACGGCCGACCCCTCAGGCTGTAGTTATGACACCTGTGCCTCTGTCACAACCGCCGTACTTTCCTTGCTTTTCCGAACTAGGCAGCTGTTTTCTTTGCGTTTGCGTGTTTTTTTTGCGCATACGAAACTCAAAAGTGACATCTTTTTTTTTTTTTTTTTTTTTTTTTTTTTTTTTTTTTTTTTTCAACTTAAAAGTGACATCAACGCACTTGCCCCTTGTATTTTTCAAATTGTAAGTACTATGTACTGAACCCAACTTCAGAAGCTCAGAATCAAGCCCCACGTGAACTCATGATGGTCAAATCAATTATAAGTTATAACAACGAAATTGAGATGGTGGCCATAGCTATTTTATCAGAAGAAGACCAAGGGCATGAGACTACGGTAAACCACCAGTACTTGGCCCAGCTATTGGCCGCAGAGAAAAAATAGAGTAGAAACTTTTCTAGTCGGATGAATTTGGCCGCTCCTGTAGTCGGATGAATTTGGCCAAATGTTGAAGTTGCTTCCCCCTCTCCTTCTTAAGAACTCCCCCCTCTCGCTACCTCCATGTCTCTACCGGCTTGCCTCTCCCCTGCCTTCACCGCCAATGTAGACACAACACCACCTGCCAAGTCAATCTCTCTTCAGCCCTTGGCCCCTTGAGCTATCTGAAGCTAGCCAAGTGATGGCGGAACTTGAAAATGACAATGTCTGTCTTCTGAAGCAGCATGCCATTGGTGTCTCCTTCTTCAACTACAACCACACTGCCACCTTGAAGCTATGGTAACCTTCCCTCTCCTGCCTGAACCTCGCCAACACCAGTGCCACACTTCTGTCTGTATAGCACAAACTGCGATAAAAAAGTATCCATATCGCGGCTATTATTGCAGCAATTTAAAAAAAAATATGTTGTACCCAACTCGCGCTTCATGCGGTTTTTAAAGCTATATACATGATACCTCGCATAGACAACATAGTCCAAGGCTCCAAGCAAAACCAGTCAAAATCTATACTTAGTGTAAGCTATGATTACCCATCTAATTGGCAAGTGAAGGTATTAGAGGGATTCCCGGCCTCCTTTTGCTCCATGTATAATAAAGCATGTTTTTTTTTTTTTTTTTTTTTTTTT